CTAGAATCCTACTTTCATCTTGTTTTTTTTTAATTTTTTATGTTCTTGTTTGTGATGATTTTTTCAGATGGTGACATCATGGTGTCAATTGCTATTGAGGTGAATAGTTATAGGAATTCTATACTTCAGTGTTTAGTAAAGTATGGTATAATTAATAATCTTGGCACAAATCCTTGTTTAAGAAGAAGTGACAGTACCCATCTCTTCACTCCAATCTTGTCCTGTTGACTGTTGTTTCTGTTGCAAGTTCATGCATGATCATTGCAAAACATGAATTAATATTATTGTTTGTATTTTTAAATACAATTTATTGAACACACATAATCAAACAATAATATCCAAGACTAACTACCTTCTCTTAGCTGAAACTGGAAGCCTGGAACCTCCACTAAGTATTGCAGTTGATCCAAGCAGAGCTAGATAAAAAAATTGTTCCCATTTTCCAGTTCTGAGATCTGAGCATGCGCGACCACACCCATAATTTGGAGCACATGTTAAGTCATGTTTCTATAATTGTGACCATAATTGACAAAAGGGCCCTTATGGCGGATTTTAAAATTGGTCTTAATAATGGCAAATATCAACCTGTGAGTGCTTTGTTAGACAATCATTGTTTCTAAAAGTTTCATGGTAACTTTTTGCATCCTGTGGAGTAATTTTATGATAAATGGGGCTCAGGAAGTTGGATTTCTTAGGCTAGAAAGACAAATTTCACTACCCGCCATAAGGTACCTTTTGTCAATTATGGTCACAATTAACAAAATGGCGGAATGAGGTGAGCTGTGCTGGGGTGATAGAGAGAGGGCAACTTTATCTTATTGTTAGAGTTTTTTGAAAAGTTGTGGACCTGCGCATGGATAGTTGGAGTAGAATGGTGTAAAAATTAGCCTTGTAGCATTGATCAAAGACCATGATACCCTCCATTAACTGGATTGACAGAAGATGATGAAGACGAAAAAAGTGGACTGAACAAAACGGCCAATTTGCCGATTTTTAACTTCCTCTTAGACAAGGTTTAGAGCCACGCTAGTAGTACCAATGGAGTCCTCTGGTCAAGATAAGGTCCTAAATGAAGTCTGGTAAGCACAGGAGCTCGTTTTCCTGGTATAGCAAGGCTGCAAAAGTCGTGGCAGACATTTTGTTTTGGGGTGAATCCTACTTAGTAACGCTACCGCGTTACTAATAAATTTTATAATAAATATTGTATGTGTGGCTAGTTATTATTAACTAACATAGGCTGATATAGAGCTGGAGTTGTCCACTCCCAGCAGTCTCTCATACATAATGACAGTTTTGTGCTGATATGATATTGACTGAAGATGAAAAAAGAGAGAGATAAAATTTAGCAAGTGAATTAATTAATTGCTACCTTGTAAAGAAATTAAAATATTAATAAAGTTTTACAGTGTTTTGAACTAAAGTCTGTTCAGTTTCATCTAACTTATTGATTTTTAACGACCTGGGGGTGTAGTTCTCAGGTCATTCCTACATGTATAATTGATTTCACCCATGTGCAATGTTTGTATATTTGTCTGTCCACACTTACATTTCTTCTATACATGTCATATTGGAGAAATAAAAAATTTCATAAGCCTTAGCAAACACCCACCCACACTCCTTTGAGTAGTCAGAGCAAACAAAATGGCAGCTTACACATAGGACAAAGTTATAAGTTTTTAAGCAAGAGAACATAGAGATACAATCTCAAGACATTTCTTGAGGTTTAGAAGGTAGAGAAAACCTCTTTAAGTTTTAATAAGAACCTAGCTCTACATGCAAGGTGGTGAAATCAATTATAGGAATACTTTTATACTGTTACGCTTGTTGGTAATAACTTTTGATAATCCAGGAATTTAGAAATTTTGTATGTGCCATTAGAATTGCTAGGTCCTTCCCGTCCTTAGAAATGAAAAACGGATCAAAATGACAAGGCCTTAGCCTTTTTTGGATGTCCCTCTATAAACTCAATGACATACCTTTGACCAAAATTATGCACCTAAAACAGCCAGAAAAAATTCAGCTGCTATTATTAATTGATGACAACCAGGGGTCGGGGTGAAAGTGAATAGACCTTAGAGCATGCATAACATCTTAACTTAGTATCAGTCATTTAAACTAAACTACATGTACAACCAGTCGATACATGAAAATGTACATGGCATGCACATACATGTAGTTACATGCACCACTTACTAGTTTACTGTCTCCTAGAGCATGATAAATTCGTGTAATAACTCTATATATAATACAATGGAATATATAAGTACTTAAATGACACCACTCACTTATAACAGTTTGCTATGTTGACATGTAGTGGCCCAAAGACTTGAGCAAACAATTGCACAGCTTCAGATAGATAGTCAAGAGCAACTTCAATATTACCAGACTGCAACTGAACCTGAGACAACTCATACAAGCCAGAGGCTTCAAGAGGCTGGGAGGATTGAGGGAAGGAAAATGGAAGATAAAAAGAAAATTAGACAGGCAATAAAATTGTTGAAGACTGAAGTACACATACATGTATAAGACGTAATATACCGTCGATCTCAAAATTTTTTTCTGTGATTTTAATTTCACTGGATTAGAATTCAAAAACAAATTAGATCACCTATATAATTATATGCCACATTCCATAATACATGACACAGTCTTATTTGGTAAAATTAAATAACAGCATCATTGAAAAACACAAAAGTTTCTACCACATAAATTCCCTAAACTACTGTATATATTGTGTAGTAAAAGTGACAGTACAAAGCAGTAATAAATGAAGTTTTGTCTCACTTTAAAATCAGTGTGCTTAACAACAGGTACAATATAGGCAATATCATCTTCATTGAATGGAGCAGTCAGGAAAACTTGTAATCCTTCAATGTAATCTGTACTCCTGATAAGGGGTGTGGCCAATGAATATTGATGCCATCTAACCTGTTTTGTTACAGAATTCCCTGAGAAGAGAGACTTTGCTAACACCACAAGTAGTACACATGTGAGTTACAGAATTACTAGAGAAAGAGATAGACATTTAAGTATATGTACATCA